TATATATATAAAGGAACAAGACTGCAGGAAGGAGAAGCGCTGGCTGGGGAAGCTGCCAGGGAGGGAGGAAGAGCAGCAAATCGCGAATGGTGCTCAGAGGGAGAAGGACTGTGGGGATAGAAAAGGGGGATAGAACAGGGCAAGGGACAGAAAAAAAAGCAAGTCAATCTGGAATGAGGAAGGAAGCAACCTAATTTTTATTTCGTTGATCAACTCCTACATTTTTGGTGGAACAAACTAAACCCCCGCGTACGTTTGCAGACAGTTTCTGAGAAGGCAGATTTATATACGATTGTGAAAGAGAAAACAAGTTTAACAGGTAACTGTTATTGATATTAATATGATCCCTATTTAAAAAATAAACGGAACACAAAAATCTTAAAGTGGATTTTTACCCCAAATGACTAAGTTAACTCCCCTGATAGGATGCAGATAACCCAGTTCCCACTTCCCACCACTCCCCATGATGCAGTCTGACAAGCATAATGCTCAACTTCACGGAGCCATAAATATTATTTATAATAAAAAGAACCTAGAAGGCAAAGTTTAAATGCATACTGTGTCCTCTCAGATGCAAATATCTATGACAGTCCTGAAAACAAACCGCTTTCTCTACTGCAGAGGGACTGAGGGGGTGTCAGTGAAACCTTATAAAAGAAGATTTCTGAAGAACTGCAATAAATGTCCTCAAGTACAAAGTCATTTCAGTACTTTGGGTCACTCTCAGTAAATGTCAGTATTCACTTAAGCACTGGCAGCCTTTTCAAAGGAATGAAACAGCCTCACCATCCAACTTCCCTTCCAAAACAGCAGCGAATACTTTGACCTGCGATGAAGCAGAGTCCTAATACATGTTATTATTTATTGGTGACCTTAAGCAAGTTACTTATTTTCCATACTTTAATTTCCTCAGCCATAAAAAGAGAATGACGAATAAACTCTTTGACATAAGGAAATCACTCCAGAACTGAAAGTGAGGCATTACCCGATCTGATGAAAACTTTCCTTAACTAGCACACATACTAAGGTATAACAGCATTTGCTAATGTCCTGCTTTTCACCCATACCAGTGGCATTCAAATCCTAATTTCTTTTCCTGCTCACTGCATGTGTTAAGACCTCTCAGCCTCCCTGCTTCTCTGAAAAAATGTAATCTCTGTGGTTTGTTGGTATCTGGGTATCTGTCTCAAGGAACTACTACACGACCCTCTTTTTTTTTTTTCCTCTTTATTTCCTTTATTGTCTAGCCATCTTAAAACAGAAATGTAAACTATCATCTTGTCCCTGAAACCCTCTCACGACCAGCAAAAATCCCTCTTGTTTTCCAAAATGTTTACTGCCCAGTTGCTGACCCCTCGCTTCCCTATGATCAGACATCACCACGCAAGCCGAGTTAATGCCAGATCTAGGCAAATTAACAGCTGTTATCTAAAATCTGCATCTTAATTAACTAGGCAATGCCATTTAGAACAGCCAGGAATATGCATTACAAATCTACAAACATTTTAGACGTTGCTTTAAACATGCAACTTCTAATCTTAAACCTTTTTCTGAAGATTTATTAAAATTCCATTTCCAAATAAGGTATTCAACAAGCAGGACAAAAATAAAGATATTCTCTCCTGTACCTCAAATACGGTTTGGAAACAGTCATTTTTTCACTGCAAGTGAACAGTGGAAGTAAAAAGTGAATGCTTTTTTCGCATGGAAGTAAGCAGTGCTCAGCACTTCATTAAATTGATCTACGTTATATTACTTTAACAATATGAAAATGGATTAGGGTTTGTGATTTTTGCTGCAGAAACCTATCACCTGGCAAACACTTTGTAAACTCAAAACATTTTTGGACTTCATCACCCTTTTGACTTGCGAAAAGCTCTATTATGACAACATACTGGTTGCTAGTGAAAACACATTTTCCAGATAAATGACTGAGTTCACGAAGAATGAATTGGTTTGATGTGATAAGAAGAAAAGGAAGCAAACTTAAGTATATGAGCTGAATACACTCTTGTGAAGATCAACAACAGATTACCTGTTACTCATCAAGTTTCAGTTACTTTAAATACTTTTCCAAAGCTACATTTTGCGATGCACGTGCTGACTTTCAGTCTCAAGATCTGAAAAATTCATTTGCTACACACCACTGATAAGAGAAAATATTTAGTGTTTCTAAGGAAAGGCATTCATGTCACTCAAGAATTCCCCAGCCTTGCTGCATCAGAAAAAAAACATGTTGATTTCAGTAAACAAAGCACAAGACCATACAGATGGTGCAGCTGTCAGCATTCACCTGAAGAGCAGACTGCTCTTACCTATTAAGGGAGTGAAACAGCGTTTATATTGCTTGTTCTCCACCCACTATTTAGTCCTTGTCACTAGAATCTAGCTATTTCATGTATCACATGTCTGACAATGGCATGAGGCAGAGAACAGTAAGACAAAAACAACTTAAACATGATGAAAAATAAACAAGACAGAAATAAAGCTTTATGTTACGTTTTAATTCTGAATACATAAAAATGAGAAAAAAATGGTTGGGTTAAGTAGTTCTTTAAACGAAGAACAGTATTATACTTAGATTATTGTTACTGGTTTTGACCCTTACAAATTAACTCTTTTTTACAAAAAATAGCATGTCAAATTACTTATGAATACAGAGAAGTTTTTACTTTTTTGCATTTGTTCTCTCATTACTTCCAGGTTCTCTTTCACTGCCACAATAGTGAATAGTCCCGGTCACATGCACAGCGAAAACACTGGTCTCCTTCAAGAGATGGCAAAAACCAGGTTGAAATTTGCATTCTGTTTCAGTAAAATCTTACTCTTTCAAAACTGAATGTCACAAACTAAACAGACTTTGAGATTATTCTATCCCCAACTGCCAACTATAAAGATGGCTTTCTATATGACTGTGCAAGTGCATTAAAGAAGTCATGAACTGTAATTTTTCCAACTCTGATTCTAGCCTACAATTCAAGAATAACCTGAGAAGTCTTAACTATGCTGTGAGAAACAACTAATGAACTGAAAAGAAGGTGTTTGGAATGCAGATTTCCTGGTAGGAACAATTTTTTTTTTCTTTTCCACTCTCCTATTCGCATTAGAATTATTTCATATCTAAAAAGTAGCTGAACAAAACAAGTTAGTGACATTCAGTCAGTACTGATGATGCCAAAAGCAACTTCAAAGATCATTCTTGACTAATGTTCTATAGGGGAACAGCGTATTCCTATATGGGGAGAGAGGTGAAGGTTAGACAGGAAATCTGTCTGCAGACAGCCACCGAGGAACTACAAGCAGGGCTTCAGGAGAGGGGATTCATCTCTTACGTTTGCCTGAAACATGAGAATCAGCTGTTCTAGCTTGCTGTATCATACAGAATAAAAACCTCTTCAATCTTCTCTTTCAGTGTTGGGGGGGAAAAAAAAAAAAAAAAAAAGGAAAAATACAATGGTAGCTCCTAAAAATTTTCAAAGCTTTAACAATGATTTTTTAAATTTTTGTTTTACTGTATAACAATATTTTTCTTAGATAATTACAAGCTGAATAGTTTGTTGGTGAGTTCTCACCAAGAGGATGCTGACGTGAAAGGAACTACAGAAAAAAAGTTTATTCACCTAATGCCAGATGGGAAATTATTGTATCGGTATTATTTGCAAGTGGCTGGCTTTGTAAGAAAGTCAAAGAAAAGATCAAGTCTCCCATTATATACAGACACCAGGCTCTAAAATGTTTAAACAGTGCTACGTAAGAAAATGAAAAGCAAATAAGCAATTACAAGTTAGTGAAAAGGTTCTGAAAACCTGTAACAAGCCTGAGGATTACCATAATTAGCATAGAACGAGTCCAACGATGTATTTGTAGAGAAGCAGGAATATCGGTGCACCTCAGTTCACCTGACAGAATTCCTTCACAGCTGAAGCGCACTCAGCAGTACACACAAACCACAGGCACTGTTCACAGAAGTGGATTTAGACACTCACCCAACAAGCCTTTAAGTTAATACTTTGATTGTACTTGTCTATCATGGATCTTCACTGGAGAGGAGGAAAATAAATTCCCCTGGAAGAGACCCCTGATTGCCCTCCTCTGCTGTCATATTTATTACAATTTTTTACCTCCACAGAAGCTGGTTTCATCCTTCATCAGGTGAAGGAATACTTGACATTTGAGGCTTACTCTGCCAGCCAACAATAACTTCATCAAATTAATTCTACCTCTGCAGAAATATGGATGTGAAAAGGCTCTATTGCTGCCTGGAGAGCAGCAAAGATTTGGGGTAGATGCTAGGCCTTCATGCTGAAAGAAGTCTCTGAAGAGAAAATTCAGGACTATGTGCCAGCTGGCATCCTTGGCTATCATCACAAAAAATGGGCATCCCTCTAAGAAAACGAGAAACCTTTGACAATATTAAGAACAACTGGTTGTTTTACACCTGCCCAAATCATAGGTAAGGTGCAAACTTTTGGGATAACACACAGAATGCATTTTTTAATTTCATTTTCTAAATACATTTTTTGTCAGCGTTTGTTCCAAAACTCTTTTCCAGCGTCAATCTGCAGCGCATGCAGCCTTCTAACCCAATCTGCACAATTCCTTGGCTAAGCAGAGAAGTTTGGCTGTGAGAAGAACTTCCAATCTGACACTAATATTTGGCTTTCCAGTTGAAAGCTTAGCAACAGTGTTTCCAAGAAGAATTTCAAAATATCATGTAATAATATAATTTTCCCTGATTTAACTCTCTCCATGAATCTAATTCAGCTGGTAAGCATGTGGACAACATCCAGCCAAAGATATGCTGCACAGAAACATACTTCAACGGATACATTTGTCTTTGTTCATCGTTTATTACCTTAATGATCTGGTGGTCATTTCTAATCAACAATTAACCAAACTGCAGTGCCTAACGCATTTTCATAGCTAACACCGGATCTATTCATTATTTTAGAAAAAGAAGGTATTTTAATAATTATTAAATTACATCTTTGTAATATTACCTTTTCGTGAATTTCTTGTGTAGACTGAGCATCACAAAATGCCACCGTGGCTACATCCTTCAGAATAGGCATTTCTACTGTACAATCCCTGCCATCCAGCAATGCTACCAAAGGGCGTGGGTGCATGGGCCCATTCATGATCGGAGGTCGAATGCCTATGAAGAAACAGAGAAGATGAGTTATTCAAGGGATGTAAATATAACAAAAATACATTATAGCTAGCCTCTTTATTCTGATGGCAGAAAAAGACTTAGAACGAATAAAAACAGCAACAAATTTATGGTAAACAAACACAGACCCCTAAAGAAAATGCAGTGAAGGCTCAGGAGGCTGAACAACAGAAGATGGTCAAAAATGTTAAGGGAATAGCATAGTTTTTTAAACAGACACCCTCATTGCACTATTAAGAAGTGTCTGTGCAATCTTATCCAAGATTCATATTTTGATTGGATTCCACACCTTTGTGAGCTCTAGACAGAGTGAGAACGATCTTGTCCAGGCTTGTAAGAACATCGCTGATGGAATACCATACGCAATTCAGTAAGGAGTTGAGTATTCAATTTACATACATCACTATGATCTGCTGACACTAAAATTTAACTGAAAAAACCTACAGCAGCAAAAATGTGTATTTACTGAGGATCCACTGTCCAAGTACACAGGCTTAGTGCTAATCTACGTAGGCCTGCTTAAACTCATAAGTTTTACACAATGATTCTGTAAGATTCAAATTAATGCATCATACTTAATCCACCACTGAAAGCTCTCTGACAAAATGTGAGCAAAACGCCCATCCTTAAACCAGCATTGCACTTGGAACATTGTAGAGTGACAAATAAACACGTTAAACGTGTGGGGGAGAGAAAAATCAGTTCAAAGTGCAGCCTTAATTTATATCCTCTTTATGGCGTCTTAAAATGAAAAGTAATCCTTACAGCAGGATATTCAGAGAGCATCTTTTTACTGTATAGATGCTATAAATATACAAAAGTACTCAAGGGAATAATATTAAACCATTACATTTACACAAAAGTAGTTAAGCGTGGGTGGAAAAAAGGGACTTCCTGAAGAGATAAAGAAAAATGAAAACAAGAATACAGTACATGATTTTTCGTCTTTCAAAACAAGTAGTTTTAAACACTGCAGAGTGAAGCAGGCTAGATATTTCTTGTATGCAAATGTCAACAACATACATTTGCTGCAGTGTGAATTTTTAAATTTTGCTTATTGCTTGGCAATACGAATTAGCCCAATATGAATGCAGAAGGACTGAGGTTCCCCAGCTACCTCCTATTAGAAATCCCTGCATCTGAAGCCTCAGACTGCATCACAAAGCAAGCCCTGAAAGACTCATCTGCATTGTAAGTGGATGGAAAATTAGTAGAGTCCCAGTTCTGCATACAAGATACCCAGTGAAGGAAAACAGCTGTTGGGAAAAGGGATTTTCACAAGTCAACAGAAGTAGTACATTACTTCCCTGCTGGGGCCAAGCCCAAATCTAGTGCTGAAGGAGCTGCACCAAGGAGATCATTACCTTCAGCCTCAATTACCTGTCTAGCCTGCACCCATAAATTTCTTGTGTGCCCCTACCCAATGCAGTAAGGCTCGGGCTAGGGCTTCCTGACATCTGGCATTTAAGTTCTTTACCTCTTCAAATGGTTTTTAGACTTGAAGACAGCTCAACAAGGGTCACTGGAATTTTTCCTACGTGCATGCACTTGCAGCTAGTGCCCTACCTGGGAAACTTATAAAAAAGGCAGCTGGCTTTAATTTAACTGTAACTGCATAATACTTAATTGCTTATTCAGCAGCAAAAGGATCTTTCAGACTGAAGGCAGACAGACAACAGATCCTCACCAATCCTTCTGCATTTGATCACTGAACTACATTTGGTTCTTTTTCATTCTAGTCTTAATGTCTTTCAACAACTGATTATGCCAACAGGAGTGCACCTGCAGCATTCTCACCATAGCAGACAGGCATTCAGATGTGAAAGTATTCACCAGCAAAGTTTTCCATGGGTACAACACTCATGGCAAATATTCTGCGTTACAAATCCATCGATTCTAGTGCACAGAAAAATCTCACCAATTATTTCTAAACCAGCACTTCCAACCACCAAAATGAAATGGGATCATTTTTAATATCATTTTCAGAAATCCTGCATCTTGCTAACTTACTGCTTGTTGTTACGCATCTGAACCAGAAGTGGCCACATAACCTTCATACAGTCGTTTTTAATAAACTAACCACACACTAATAATGTGGCACAGGACAAACACAGCACGAATACACAATGCAAATGCTACATAGTTATCCCAAGAATAATTACTATCTTTTAATGGGAACTTAATTATAAAACCCCATATTAAATTTACTTTGAAACACCCTAAAGTAAAGCATGTTACAGACTTGTTCATGTTTCTTTCAAAATAGTGTATGTAATAGCATTAATAAAATGCAATTATGTTTTGAAACATAAATGTAAAAATGACATTGCAAGCCCTGTTCATATTGAATATAATAACTGTGCTTGTTTTACAAGCGAGGTGTTATGGTCAGCTTCTTAACTGTCAGTCCGGCAAAGCCAGGATTTCAATGACAAGTCTGAATCCAAGCTCAAGTAAATAAGAGAAAACGTATAGAACTTTGATCCTAAAGCTGTTGAAGATGGAGGAAGAACATGACATAGTTCATTTCCCCCAGAGCTACAGCAGAAGCATCTCTGTCAACAGAGGAGTGCACACAGTCCAAAGAGATAACAAGATTAAAAGCTGTCCCCTTCAAGAATCACTCTTCCATCTATCTAGAACTCTCTCAGAAAAATACAGTACCACAGAACAAACACAGCTCTTTAAAAGTAACAATTCCTCTAAAATACATAAAGGTGCGGTCTCTTTTTCCCTTAGGCCAGTGTAACCCATTTGAACCAAGGGACTCTTGTCTGATGTTGGTGCTAAGTAGCATGCCAGACCAAGCCCCAAAATATAAGAACTGAAGTCAGAAAAACAAGTGGGAGGGTAACCCTCCCCAGGAGTATCTCAGGCTTGTTAACAGAGTCCCCAGAACTCAAATATACCCAGTGACCTTGACCACAAAAACCCCACAAACCTTTGCTTGCCAAAATCCTCTCTGAACTTCAGCATGGACTTCCTGTTGCACAATCTTTCTGCCTAAATACCGTATCACTAAATCGCAGACAATAACTCAACACTTCAGTAAGCTTACAGTAACTTAATCACAGTGGCAGTCACTATTTAAAGTTTACATTTGCAAAGACACAGTTTCGCTATGAATCAGAACCGTTTGAACGAAAAACTACTTCTTTCACCATTTAGATATGTTCGGCCTGGTTCTTATCTAGAAATGTCACACTGCACCCCGTGCTTGGTTTTGCAGCAGACCCTTGGTGTGGCAGGATAAAGCAATGTGTATTTAACAGCAGTATTTTCCATTCCTGCATTAACAGTAAATCATGCAGCTCAGTGCCAGAGAGGAGTATGACTGTAAACTGGTCAAAAGCAACATTCAGAACCACAAGCACAAAACTCATTTTTTTTTTAAATAAATAAATAAATAAATTTCACTTAGTTGGCTTATTTAAGTATGGTAGCATTTTATATAACACAGACAATAACAAGCATACCATCCACCCCCACATCCTAGAACCTTTGTTAAGGGAAAACAATCTCAGTTTATCCTAACTTGAGACTTTCAGGAACCCCTACCAACCTGACATTTCTTAATCTGAGCTTGATTTCCAGGGTCATGAATTCGATTTCTCAATGCTTTACAATCTTCAGTATTCTGAGGCAAAATAGCAGCCTGTCATTCGATCCTCATTTCCATGTCTTTAACTTTTCTTGCAGCCTCCTGTAATCTTGAACCAAAGCTTTTAAACTTCTTATCCACTGCAACCTCTGTAGCCTGGATCGTGTTCAAATTTTTACTAAAAAATTAAACACAAACAATACATTAAAACAACATTAAGGGTCTGACTTGTGCTCACAGAAGCCAGGAAACTCAAAGTCAAAGCTTCTCACTGCATCTGCACCCTTCCCCATTTGGCTGCTGGTTTTCCACCACACCTGCTGTGCTGCCACCGGCCATTAACATACCAGGGACTGTTAGGACACACACAGCACCAGAGCAGGACAAGCAGGTGCATTGTAAAGAGACGTACCTGGACCAGTCGGCACCACTCATGCGGCAAAGCTTTTGCCTAGGTGAGCAGGGATGCGAGGAGAGCGTGTGATCTCCCGTAGCACCGTGCTGAGAGCCAAGCACCGGAGCGACTACCGAGGATGGAGTGAGAAGCCTTTACTCTGAACGTGGTGGTTGGCTGGGTAGAAGTCAGGCCCTTAAGGTTATCTAAATGTATTTAAGGAAAGCAAAGGCTACCCTCAAAGGGTTATCCCCAAAGGTTAGCCTTAAGGTATGCTCAATCCAGCTATGAGTGGGTTTGGGTTTTTTTTTTCCTCACTATGGAAATAATCTGGTGGTGAAGCTCTTGCCCCAGTAGCAGCTCCCGTGTCAGTGACTGCTGGAATTTTTCTAAAATAATACCACGTGTAGGGTGCATGCAGACAGAGCGGTCACAGCGTGGCGCACAGCTGTTATGGACGGACGGCAGAAGTGCCTTTTGAGAGCTACAATTTGGACTAGCTGCTCTACGAAACAGCATCTAAACCCTTTTCTGGTCCAGTCTTTACGGAAAAAGCTTGAAAAATTCGAACAGCAGCTTTCAGCTGTGTGCTCGATCGATCAGAGGTCAGCCCAGCGCTCGCAAACCAGAGGATCGGCGAACTTATCCCTCAGCTCTTGTAACCAAAACCTGAGGGGGAGGCTCGCCAACTACCGCCTCCACACCTCTGCCTGTGTGGTGACTTACGAATTATCAGCCCAGCCTTAGCCCTAGATGTCATTTTTTTGTTGTTAAATACTTGAAAGAAAACAAAGACCTACCCAAGCGTGGTGGTTTCCTCCCCCTCCCGAGGCCTACCTGCCCCTCCTGAAACAAAGGCGCACCTCAGCGCGCCGAGCTGCCAGGGCACAGCGGCTTTGGACGCCACTGGAGGGTAGGAGAGCTCGCCCTGACATATTCTGGGCCCTTTTAGCTTGTTTTAAGCCTTTCCCAAAACAGCCATTTATGTCA